GCTGACCTGCTGCTTAATGGTTGTCAGGATCCAGCTTTCTCTTTCTCTCATCTTGCCTGGATTCTAAGCACAGGCCCCCATGCCTGACATCTCTGGGATCTGAGACTGGAACTCAGGACCTCACACTTGTGACTGACAGCTTTCCTGGTTGAGCCATCCCTGTAGGCCCAATGAACTATTAACTGTTGAGACTTGGGCTCTCTCCAAATCCGGAAATCCTTTAAAACTATTCATGAGCAATTTAGATTCGAGTACACATTTAGAGAGTCAATAACTGTTAGATAAAAGGTAGATTACTAATGATTATGATTATTAAGATAGCCCAAACATGATCAAGTTTAGGAGCACACTCTTCCAAGAGATGAGGATGCTGAGAAGTTAGGTTTCAAAGAAAAGAAAACAAATACCTACTCAGGAGACAGTGGTTTCTGCTGCCTTTCTTTCTTCTTTTAAGGATTCAAAACTATGTATTGGGTTAAAATAAATTGAGCTTGAGAATCAAGGTTGGGATGTCCTGGCCTTGTCCTCACTGCAGGACCCCTGTGTGGGGCAAGGGTAGTCCTGTACACCTGATGGCAACACCTCAGGGAGAGAGATGTGTTGTAGCAGTAGGTGGGAGGGGATTCAGCTCCTTCTCACTGTAAGTCCATTCACGGTTGAGTCCTGATTCGTCCAGTGCACCACAGAACTCCAAAAGCAGCACAAAGTGAAATGCAGTAGCTCCCTCTCTGCTCCACCGAGCCGGCACTGCTGGGGATCTCGTTTACAGGAGGGTCAAGGTCAAGAGACTTAGCATTTCATACTGCCCAGCTCCAGCTTATCACTCCCATTCTGAAAATAGACGCTATCTTTCACTGGGCGGTGGTGGCACACGCCTTTAATCCCAGCACTTGGGAGGCAGAGGCAGGCGGATTTCTGAGTTCAGGGCTAGCCTGGTCTACAGAGTGAGTTCCATGACAGCTAGAGCTACACAGAGAAACCCTGTCTCAAAAATCAAAAAAAAAAAAATAAAAAATAAATCTCACCAAATGTAACAACAGCTGTCCTGGTGGCTATGCCTTAAGCAAAAAGTGAAGTAATCATATTTCTTATATTTGTAATAATATAAATAGTGTAAATAGCATTTATTATTTGTAATATGTAATATATTTATTAATAAAAGGTATCATTAGAAAGTCAGCAAGTCTCATATTATCCAATTGAGTCAATAAAAATTAAGTTAAAACAACATGTCCATATTTTTGTTGATATTTAGCACCTGGAAACTTTATTTTCTGTGGTTCCTTCCAGACAGTTCAAAGACTGAAAATTTAGAGTGATCATAATCTACAGATTGGGGTCAAGAGGCCTGGATGGTGGGCTCATCTGATTATTAATTCAAGTCACGGAAGATCTTTGAGGAGTATATAGGAGCAGAAATTAAGATGCTATCACACCTGGCTGGTGGCCAGAATAAGCACTCCAGAATAGAAAAGCCCTGTGAGGTGCCCTCAGAAAGATGTTCCTAACAGATGGTTTGAAAGTAACCATGACCTGATAATTCTGCCTCTGAGAATAAATACACCGTTTTCTTCATATTACTAGAGAAATGAAGTAAGACACTGAGCTATAGGAACAAAAGAGAAATGTATATTTTTATCAAATACCATGTCTACACTAGGAGGAAATCAGATGCTGTGAGTACACAGGCAGTCTCCTGCTGGTGTCTAGCTTTTTGAAAATGCTGTAAACAACACTTGTTTTGTTCCTGTGGGCCACAGTGTAAGCAAACTAACCAGGAGTCCACAAGCTAGTTCACACCTCTCTCATTGTTCCTTTGCTCCAAGAGAACAATTACTAAAAACAAACATTTGCAAATACAACTGTTTGCTGGAAAATAAATCCAACCCACAAAGAGTCATTTTGAATTTCTTAGATGGTTGAAATTTCAAGAAAGTTTTACTGATAATTTTTGAGGTTTAAGAAATATGTAAAGCATATTCGGCTAGTCTTGTTGACTGGTTGATTTCAGATATTTAAGAGTTAACGCCTGTAACAAATACACTGGATAGTGAACGCTAAGAAAATAGTTCTGGTTCATACTGTTGGCCAGTGTTTCCCCAGATGTTCAAGCCAGGGATTCAGACTTGTTCATGTTCCACCCAAGGTGAATCAGAGCTGCAACCGGTTAGGCAATTGAAGCATCACTCATTTGTTCTGTCATAGGACAAATAGTCTGTGGAGACCATGTCAAATACTACTGTGAATGAACAAGAGACAAGTCCCAGAGAATGCTCAGAAGAGTTGAGACCGGTGGGGAGAAGATGGTAGGTGACTTCATCATACTGGCTCATTCTTGTGCAAAACTGCTGTCAAGACATCTTGGACTACCAAACTGACATCAATGGGCTCATGAGTTAGAAGAGATATGAAGAGTTATCTCTGAACTTGTGTGGACTGGCTCCAGCAAGAGTCTAAAAAACATTTCTGGCTAAATGCAAAAGCCTTTTCTGGTGAGAAAAGAGATGTGATCTCTCAGCCAAACACATAGCAAGTCAAATAAGGTAGGTGTGGGGGAAGAGAGCCTGGGTGGCATGGCCAAATCTAACGGAAACAGACAAAATCATAAAGTTAGCACAGATGCTTGACCAAGATCCAGCAAAGCTGAACCAAGTGATGCAATCACCATTGTGTGATCTTCCACCTTTGGTCTCCATCTCCAGGTGTTGCATGCTTGGGAGGCTTTCACTATTTACAGAACTTGGGGATATTCAATTGATAGGGAATTTCTTATGAATCACTTATGACTTCTCCTAAGAGAACTGTCCATAAGCTTCCCCAGAAAAGTCCTGAGCGTCCAACTCCTCCTGCTTTTAGGAAGATAGCCTTGTCTGGCCCTATTTGAAGGTCATTTTTATGCCCTGGAGGTTGTTACTCAAATAAAGACACCAGAGATCTCTTTATGAGGCTTTGACTCCAAGATACTCTTGTAACATCTGCCCCTGTACTTACTCAGGAACAAGATAACCAACAAAGTAAACTTAAAAAGGTCAACAAGATTCAGTGGCAGCATATCAGACTAAAAACTTCTTCCTACTATATGCTCAGGTGATTACATGGCATATAAGATTGGGAAAAGATACAGAAATAAAGTTAGATTGGCCAGAGTTATCTCTGCCCCTCAAAGGGCCTTATATTGATGGACAAAAGTGGTATGGAGAAGTGATAAAAAAATTAAATATTAAGACTTCCCATTCTGAGAAAAGTTCATTTGTGCAGGGCTGCTGTGATGTTGTATAACCAAGGAGCAAAAGAATACCAAGATTAGACATATAAATAAATACTACAAAGATGTAAACATTGTATTATGGCAGAAAATGAATAATCACCACAGAAGCTTTGGCCTGAAGATTTTTCTTGGGCCTAATAATGATTAACACTCTGACCACTAAAAGTTCATAATACACTGCTTGGTATTATGCCCAGGATGCCTTAGAGATTTATTTTCTGTCTAGTGCCCTTGAAACTGCAATCTGAGAAGGAGCTATCATGCTTTGGCAAAATATGCCTCTAGATACTTAAAAATTTGGTTGATGATGGAAATTATTGTAAAAGATAACTCTATTCTGTCATAGATTATCAATGATGACTAACTTATGACCAAGAGGAATAAAATACATGTCTAGTGATAAAAATGATACAATCTATGTTTTGGAACAACATGAATCTATCCCTGCCTACTGAGTTCTGTATAAATAAAGAAGCACCCTGACTGCCCATCATTCAAGCTGTGAGATTCTTCCTGACCACTGTGCCTGACTCACTTCTCCTTCACCAGACAACTCCTTATCCCTCTGCAGAACCTGGTCATCGCCAGGATTGGTCTTCAGCAGCAAGGAAACTGGATGGGCAGTGAGCAATCTCAGGGGAGCAGTCTTTAGAGTTAGATAATAAAGGCTGTAAAAATGAGGATTTGGGACTATATCCTACGCAATTCAAAGACTTTGAAAGATATTGAGGGAAGATTTGTCTTGTTTCTAGCAACATGATCACACATAACTCAAAGGCCCCTTTTACTTGTGTTTTGAAGTGAAATCATTGAGGGCTGGGCAAGAGCAGGTGCTCTTACAGTAATTCAAACAAAAGGGAATGTGGCTTGGGTCAGAGTGGTAGTAGAGCGATGGTAAGTGATAGTGATAGTACAGCAGAGATTGAGTTACATTCAGCAGAGTCTGCTGACACGCTGCATGTGAGGGAAGGCTCATAAAATGACTCACTGGTTTTGTTCTGATTAGAAAGATGTAGTCAACATTTCCTGAATTGAAGCAAAGACAATGTGGAAAAGAATGAAGTAAGCAAGATTTGGTGTTTTATTGTCTCTGAGGAAAATTCCTTATTGTAGCTCAGGTTGACCTTGAACTTATGGTTCTCCAGCCTCATCTTCCATAGTGCTGGGAGTTACAGGTATACACTACCACACTAACCATGGGTTGGCTTTGAATCAGTATGCAGAGTTACTGGCTTCACACAATATCAACCACTGTGGCTACCTGTTTTTCCTTTCTTGGCCACTGACATTTAGTTGTTGCTGTTTTATTTTAATTTCATTTTATTTTCTAGCCTATGTAAAACTAAACTGAATGGCACTTGTAAATATCAACAGGTAGTCATTGGATATGCTGCATTTGGGATTCCTCAGCCCTAAAGAAAAGGAACACCCATTCGGGTTCCTGATGTCTTGATGACCAATGCCACATCCCAAGAATTTGGACAGAAATACTAAAACACTGAAGTACAACTGAAATCTGACTGCAGATCACTTTATAGATTGATTAATTATAAACTCATTCCAGAAAGTTGTCTTCATTTCTAAGCTTTCCTAAATGAACTAGAAATGAGGATAAAAACCTAAGTGTTCACTGTACTTTCCAAAAAAAACTTACTTTTACATAAATAAAAACTTGGTGTGGTACATATGAACATGGAATGGCGAAAGTGAAATACAAGGGAGTGTACTGTACCTTGTTTTACCTGTAAGGAACACACACCTGACAAAAGGCAATTTTCACATCCAAGGTTGGTTCACTGCAGTAGTATAGGAAATGGAGGCTCATAAATACCTACAGGGAACAAAATTGGGTGATGAGTTTCAGGGAACTCACTTTTAATTATTTGATAGTATCAATTTGTAATCATCTGAGTTATACACCGAGATCATGAACAGCAGAGATGCATCATGAGTCTCACCTATATCTGTAAAAGGTACTTTTCACAAATTATAAATATTATATAATACAATGTGGTAAAATATTTTATCAGCTATAGGTATCAATATCATCATACCCATATAATGCCAGGAACCATCAAGGAGAAGCTAAAGCCTAGTAAGTGATCTTCCTGATATGGTTCTACCATGGACTGTACAGTAAATGACAGATCTGCATTTTTAGGCAAGGCTGAGGATATTGCACTTGAGGAAAAATTCCTGCTTTTCCCTTTATTATTAAATATACATAACAATCATTAGGTATTAGCCCACCCTTTGGAGCAGATTTCTGCAGAACAATGAGGATAAGTTGTCTTATGTGATGCTATATAGACAAATAGATGATTTCTTAATTATTAATGATGATTAAAATTAATGATGATTCCTAAAATTATGTTAATAGTTACTAAGACCTTTTATAATAGGACTGCTATTAAGTCCTTTCTGATGTCAAAACTGCTATGAGAACTTTGCCAGTCTTCAAGTGTAATGAATTAATTGCTTCTGAGATAGTAATTGGGCATCTACAATTTAGAGACAGTTCCAAGAGGTTGCAAAACCATTAACCAATGGTCATAAAAAGGCAACTAGTTATTTACTATAGATTCAAGGACAGAAAATAAAATCGTGACTGGGTTTGTCTATACAAAACTTAAATGATAATTTAGTTATGGTCTTTAACTCTCCATGAACCCATAGAGCTAGTATCAGATAATGAATGTTTAGCCAGATACTTACTCTTAATGGATATGCATATAAACACTCTCTGTTGTAAACTTCTTATTCAATTTATGATTTGAATTTATGTGTAAACTTGTAGTAAACTTTTTACCAGGTGATCATATATTCTGAAAGATGTATAAATACTGAGGGCAAAGAGATGGAACTGAGAGAAGAACGACTTAAGGAAGAACTTTCTTAGAAGACTTTTAGAGAGAAGTTAGAAGTAAAGGCACTGGGAACAAAGGCATTGAGAGTAAGGGCATTATTATTGTTACATCCGAGCAGTTGGAGAGAGCAAGGTTAGGAGAAGAGAGCAGAGAAAATTTTTCAGTGAGAACTTTTCGGAGGAGAACTTTTGTAGAAACTTTTTTGGAGAATCAAAGAACTTAGAAATAAAGGTTAAAATCACTTTTCAAAGTGTCCCTTTCTCTTCCTGTAACTTTGACTACCAAGCTAGAAGTTAAGCCAATCAGTTCCTACAGAGATAGAACTAAGGGTGCTTAATACTATGCTGTTTTATAATGAGGTGCTAAACCCAGAGACTGCAGCTTCTGGCCTCAGAGGAACACAGACAATCAGGTCAGCTACAGCAGCAAAATGACTTAAAATTAAGACATGTAAATGTTTTATTATTAAGCAGCAATCCTAAATATCTTGCAAGACCAAGTCCTGCCTCTACAAAAGCTCTTCCCCCTTGGCTTACCTCAAGAGAGAACCAGAAGAAAGAGGTGTCAGGGCTGGCCCCCGACACTATAGGTTAGATACAAGGAAATGGGTATTTCTAAAAAGTTAAGACTAAATACAAAATTTATATAACACTAGTTTTTAAAAAAGCTCAAACATTTGCTCAAAGGGGTGTGTGGAATCTTGCTGTGAACTTTGATGTTTATTATGGTTCAGAACTATATGTTCACTGTAGACCCATGTGCTGGAGGCTTGATCTCCAATAAAGCACAGTTCAGGCAACTTGGCCATCATGGTACAAAACTAATAAATTAAAAAGCCCTCTGATGAATCCTCATCTCGATGGACTGCTAAAGAGTGTGGAAGCTCAAGGAGATGGGGCCTAGTTAGAGGAGAGAAGTCACTGTGGTATACGCTCCTGGGCTGTATCTTACTCCCTGTCCCTTGCTTGCTCACTCCTTTCCCTCTCTACCCTCCACATGGTCCCTGCCATGATGTTCCCCCACACCATGGACTCATGAACTAACATCTCTGAAACCGTGAGCAGGAATACATATGTCCTTTAAATTTTTCTCTTGGCCATGTTACCTCAGGCATGAAAACTGACAGGCGCTAATAAGTGATCTAAAATGTCTAATGTAATTCTATAAAATATCTGAAACCATTGGATTTGAATTTAGTGTAGATAAAATTTTCAAACGTGATTTTTTTTTGGGGGGGGAGCAAGTTTGAAGTTCCCTTATTAAAGATTTAAAATATACAAAAAAATAGCACCCATTATTTTAAGTACATATAACTAAAGAAAAAAGAAAAGTGGGCACTCTATTAATAGCTGTTTGGTCTTGGTGGGAATTACATTTTTTAATTATACTATTTTCTGTGAGTTGGCAATATTTAACAATTCTGCAAGGTTGCAAACAGAGGGGACCCTAAAGGTAATGCAAACGAAGACCTGAATTCCTTGGGAATGAGACAGCCTCAGAAGAAGCCGACAGTTTCACCCATTTAATTAAACACATTTTTGAACATTGTTGCATGCAAGGCAACATTCTGTGAGATCAAAGGATTTAAAAATGAGCACAGAGGTACGACTTCTGTTTCTGCCATATGATTGATTAGGTAACCTGAAAACCACGCTGAATTCAAAACCCCTAAAAAATGTTAGATGAGAGACATGAAAGATTTTAAGACACGTAATTAAGCTGCTCAAAGGGGGCAAGAAATGTTCTGAGAACCTGAGAACATTGTGGCGTGGGCACAGAGACACGTGGGAGCAAAAGCTGTCATTTGGCCCTCACCAGCTGATGATTACAATATCAAGTTTTAAAGGGAATAGGCAGAGGACAGGAAACAAGCTCCCATCTACCCAGACAGGAAGTGACTCTGGAGATAACCACAAAAGCCATGCTCTAGGAAATTTTAAAGCAACTTGATAAAGAAGCCGAATAATCCAGAAGCAAGGTTTGAGTTGCTAAAATCAGGTTCAGTATTAGACTTTGATGTACATTCTTCTTCCATATAAGGAAGAGTAAAGAGATAAAAAATAAACATCTGTTTGCTAAAGAACAATCTGGGCACTTATATGGCTAGTTGAGAGAAACATGTTGCTGGAAATACAAGATTATTGTAGAAATTGGGAATAAAGCGCCTAGAAGGAGATAGATTCAAACATGGAGTCCAGTTTATGTTAAGATCTACATTGTAGACATCTGGGGAAACGAGAAACTTTGTGTATTGAGTCATGGATGAGACAAGTGGTCAGTCCCATGAGAAGGAAAGTCAGCCCCTATTGGAAGAACACCATTGTTCCTTATTCTGGATTTGTGCATGGGACTCTTGCATGTGTGTGTGCTTTGCAAACAGAAGCCTTGGTTCCTTTTGTTCTTAAGGAAGTCTATACAGCAGACATGCTTGAAAGCATCTCCATCTTAGATCAAATAAGAGATCCAATCAGTCTCCAGTAATGAAAGCTCGTGACTGTCCTGGACACAAGTTAGTCATGCATCCTATCCCATAGAAAGGACCTAAGACTCCTAAGCTCAACGCTCCTCTGCAATATACCACCTAATGCATGTGTGATAGTTCCCAGCCTGCTTTGCATCACTCTGTGGAAACCTAGGCCAAGAAGCTGTTCTGGGTATTGACCCTGTAGATTCTGGATGAATACATTGACGTGAGTAGCAAGGAACATGTATCAGGTCCAAGAACCTTGTGCTTTCTGCCGTTACCCAGGAAATGATGACAGGATATCTCGAAAACTTGAAAACATGGTACTATCTCAGACTCTCTACAAGCCTTAATTCTTAACTCACGTTATATAGAAAAAAAAATCCAAATAAAGTTAAAAACCCTCAGGAAGGGTCAAAATTTATATATTAAAAATTGCAAATATTACAGAAGGAAATATAATCAAATGCCAGAGACATAAATAGTATGTAGATATGCTAAAATATAAAGGAAATTATTACTAAACTATATTAAATTTAGTAAGTCTACTCATGAAAAGATCTAATGTTTTTTTTAAATAGGCCACAAATCTGGGAAAGTAATTAAAACACACCATCAATGGAAAATGTATCCAGAATCTATACAGATTGCTTTTTTAAAAACGAAGAAAAACTCAGAGAATCCAGTAGAAAAAATGAGCTAGACAAATTACACTTTATCAAAAAAAAGCTCATAGACACATGATGTATAAGATGAAACCACAGCGAACTCTTAATTCATCTGACTCTTAATCAAATGATCAGCAGCTGAAAAGAAAGAGATTTTTCAGGATTTACAAGGTGAGCCTGCAGAAGACAACGTCCATGAACTTTGAGAGCTATGCAACTTGAAATAAATTCAAGAGAAACAGAACTATTTCCTAAAGCTGTGCACATGTACAGTCCAGCACATCCCTGTCTACACACAATGGAGAGATGCCCTTGTACACACAATGTCTCTGCAACAGCAGACTAAATAACAAAAACCAAAACCTGAAAAAATATCCACAGAAAGTGAAGAGGTAAGTTGTACTGTTTAGTAGAATTCAGTGTGGTGATAAAGTAAGTGTTGTCAGCATCCAGATCTCTTCAAACATGGACTAAAACAGACCTGGTTTCATTTAGGAAATGTAGGAACTTTGCACAGCTCAGCAACTTCGAAGGATTTTTTACCTGTAACTATTATGCTTGGACTTATTTCTGTTCTGCAACTCCTCTCAGAAATATTCTGTGCTTTTTATGTATGTGCTGATATATCTTAAAGTTTTTGCTTAAGTGTTGGTGTTTTATGCAAATCTGACTGGTTCATTTCCCAAATGCTTTATTGCTAAAAATCAGACTACTTTCTATAGGTGATCATAGGTCCTACACGTTGCTGCATTAACTTATTAGATCTGGTGTCTGGTAGGCTGTTTTGGACTTTGCTCCCACAGAAAATGAAGGCTGGTTTCCCTTGCCCTCC